ATATATATATATATATATATATATATATATATATATATATATATGTGTGTGTGTGTGTGTGTGTGTGTGTGTGTGTGTGTGTGTGTGTGTGTGTGTGTGTGTGTGTGTGTGTGTGTGTGTTCGACTAAAAATGACTGCTGACTCAGCAATGATGAGCTTTCGATGCATCGTTCTAGCTTCCGGGGTTTTGACTTGGCATTATCGTTTAGACTGAAGGTGGTTCGTACAAAATCACTCATACATTCGTCGCTCTTTGCATTCTTACTTTTCGAGGTTCTATCTCATCAAGTTCTTATCGTCGCAGAAGACGAACGGTACAAGAAATAAGTTTTTAGTTTTGAAGGATAAAAATCGTGCACTTCTTCTGGAAAACATCTTTTGGTACGGAGAACACAAATGCACCATGGCTAATTGAGGTAAGACAGAATCTCATTTCAACTCTGATGCATATATAAACGCTTACAATGGGAACACTACAAAGACGCAAACATATTGCCACAATCACATCAACAGTGTTCACCTCTCACCACGCAATACTTCAAGTGTTGCACAAAAATTTGTTTATCTGTTTAGGGTTGGAGAGCCTCGTTAATGGGTATACTTTCCCAAATTTCAAGGCTTCTTCTATCATTGCACGCCCGTAAAATGTCAGTGTTGCCTGTCATTTGCTGTCGTGTCAATGTTTTATTGTGTTCGTGTCGCATGTGGTCCAGAGGTACCCGTGCCGTAAGTGCATCGTCAGGCTTCGTGAGAGAGTCGTTGTGGTCCCACCAATGGGTGTGTGGAATGACGTTTGCAGCCTATGATGTTGCATTTGAATTTATATACCACATCGGTACATTTTAGTTTGTCCGGTTTGTCTGGGCTGTTTCTCGTAGAAAAGTTAGAGAATTTCTTGTTGCGATAATAAATAACGATATCTATGTTGTGGTCGTTTTTGCCTTTTAAATGGCGAGAAACGATTTCCCGTACAAACTTTTTCCTGTATTGCTAACACCCTTTTTCTTAACTGCCTGGTCGTGTAGCTTTATGCTGGTATATCTTGGCATAATCCTTCATGATTAAAAATGACTGCCGGCTCAGCAATGGCAAACTTTTTTCATCGTTCTGGGTTCCGGGCTTTTGACGCAGCATTATCGTTTAGATAAAAGATGGTCCGTACAAAATCGCTCATATATTCATTATCTTTATCTTCATTTCATTCTTTATCTTCTTATGTTTCGAGATTTCATTCTTGATCTTCTCATGCTTCGAGATCTTATCTCATCGTCGGAGAAGACTGAATGGCACAAGAAATAAGTTTTGAGTTTTAAAGGATGAGAATTGTGCACTACTTTTGGAAAATATGCTTTAGTACCGAGAAGACAGATGAAGTATGGCCATTAAAATAGGACAGAGTGCTATTTTTACTTTGGTATATAAACTAAAATACACACATAACAGGAACACTACAAAGACAGGAGCACATTGCCACAATCACGGCGTTGACAGCAGTGAGCGGTTTGTTAAGCTTGGTCTTGAGTTTGCTTGTTGGATCTTTTGTGGTGCGATGGAACTTCTTGCCATCCTTCAAGACACAGTTCAGGTTCTCATAATATTTTGTTTGTCAAGTACGACGTAGAGTGATAAATTGTCCGCTCGCTGAATGATAATTTGCTCTTTTTCCCGAACTTCCTTTGCCGCCGGCCTGAGTTTTTGTGTGAATATCTTGCTTTTGTCATTCCCACGCTATTTCGTGCTCTCTCCTAGTAAGCTGCCCTTTACATCCCTGTTTGATAGCCTTTTCCTCTTTTCCAAATTCAATGTATCTTGGTAAAGAATTTCTGGTTCCGCTTTCTTCTCTTACTGTGTTTCGACAAAAGATGACAATCAAGTCCAAGATTAAGCACCTCTTTTTGCTCTTCAGTAAGATTATGGTGAGATAACTTGAGGTAATCACCTGCAGTTTCCGATAATACTATGAACCAACCACGGAGCTTTGAAAGCTTTTTCAAGATTATATTTCTAGTAAGACGTCCAGGATCACATTCAATCACGTGAAGTTCGTGAAGTACTATTGTTTTAGTTGATGTTCAGGACAACATGCCTGCAGTTCTTCTTTTAAGGTTTTTTTCTCTTTCTGCAAGTCGTTCAGTGCAGTCACGAGAAACATAATTCATATAGATAAGACAGTAATGATAGCCTTGTTTTGTGGAGTAACCCAGGAGAATGGAGGTATAGATGGGGTGATATTTCGGCAATATGCATCTATCGAAACAATAGCAGAAGTCATAGCAGAATGAATTCAAGTCAATAGCAGAAGTCAATATCAGAAGTTCTTATCAGAAGTCATTCAATTCAATAGCAGAAGTGGCTTCTGCCATTGTTTTGATAAAGGTATGTTGCCGAAATATCAACCTCCATTCTCCTGTTTTTTTTGTTTTCTTTTATCAATCGCCATGCTCCTGGGTTCTCTCCGAGGAATACAGTTATTACTATTGTCTTTTCTCTTCATCTTACGGATTTCACAGGCTGTCTTCTTTTGCTGCAGTCGGTGATTCACTAGTCGTTCCTTGCACCTTTTGGTAAATCCCTCTTGGCCTCTCGTTGTAAATATGAAACGCAGAGGCACGAAACAAATATTCCTTTCGATTATGATGTTGGTAATTTGGGTATCAGGGTGAGCCGATTGCATTGAAATGCATTCGACGCGTAACGGTCATATGTCGCCCAGCTTTGGGCTGACGAAACATTATGCAATTATGGCAAATATGAATACTTTAATTCTGTGTCACCGCACTGCATGAGGCTCTTGCCTCACTTCAGCAGCTGGCCGGCCTTGGTGCTGCCGTAAATGTCGCAGCGGTACAGAGGACGGGTGTGGTCAGTCGGGTCATACTGACCCGCCGCCTCGCATTGCGCCTTGTGGAACTGGAACTGGATCACACAGGCGACAAAATACCTGTTTGAACGGAAAGCATCAGCGTGGCACCGACAGTATGGGTAAAAAGAGTTACGGGCCGGACGATGCTTGGTACTGATTCCGCAGGCGCCCAGAAGCAGCCGTGGCCCACGTGCCGGCAAAACGACAGCTGACACGGTCAACCAGCACATGCAGATCATGTAACTTCAAACTTATCTTAACATAATATAACTAGACTATGATATCATGCCGCATCCTGTATTTGTATATTATGTTCATAACTTTCTCAAATCAATGCTGTTTTCTGAGGGCGACGTATTTCAAAAAGAAATCCAAGGCAAAAAAGAGAGAGAGAGAGAGAGAGAGAGAGAGAGAGAGAGAGAGAGAGAGAGAGAGAGAGAGAGAGAGATATATATATATATATATATATATATATATATAAAGGCGGTTCAGATGGCAAAAGACGGATATAAACAAAAAGTCCGCTGATAAGATCAATGGACGTAGATGCCGCAACTTCAAAACTTGCATTCGTACACAAATCATCATTCTTATTTCTGTATATATTAGATTTGTCACTTGGGATTTCTGCAATCAATTCAATTTTCTTAGGCTGATTTATACTAAATAACCCTATGAAAAAACGCCAGCAGGCCAGCGTGGTCTGATGGGCTTTGCGTTCTAGCATCGGCTCGGCTTTACATATCGTTTATAATTAACTTGGATAGCATAAGCTGTGGAAGCCGATGAAGGGTGTCTGAGGGTATTACGATATCAACGCGAGCTGTGCAATTAGTCTGCTTTTTACACGCTGTGTCTCTTCACCTCTTTCCGACCGTTTTCTTCACTATGAGAATGCTGAAAAATTGGCCAAATACATATGCTTAGTGTAATTTGTGATGTTCACACTTCTCTTGATCGATGTAATTTTCTTTATTTGGGCAAGAGAGGTCTTGTGCTTTTGGCTTTTCGGCATATTGAGGTGAAAATTCTTATCCTGACAGAAATAGGCCTTCCATATACCAGGAGCAGAAGGCACTAGGTTACCAGGTTTAAGGACGTTGTAAAGAAAGCATTGGCTGTGTTGACAAAACTCAGCTTTTCCAGCAGCACACCAGTGTGACCATGAACACGGCTTTAAACGTCGAATTTGTCCAATATGACCGATCATTTTCAATAGCGCTGTTTAGGAAGTACCCGATGGTATACTGAGGGTCGATTGCTATCAGAATAGGAACCTCAGCCCACAAGGTCAGGGTTGAAAAAAGCATCTGATTTATCGGATACGCTCGGTGACAAAGACTGACACTTTTGGAAACCAATTGGTGACAAAATTGCAAAAATGAAAACAAATTTCAACAAACTAGACCATATTGCAACAGATCGCCCCAGCTAGACAAAACTCGAAGCTGTGTATTGGTTTGTACTCGCCCTTGTTGATATCACTACCTTATGTTGTGGATACCGCTGTGGACCAGTGCTTGCTGCAGATATTTCGACCACGCTCCCATTCACACACTAAACGATATAAAATACCAAATGTCTAGGCTTATCACTAGTCGTAAGAATTGTGGTTGGCCGCAGCATCTCGCGACGAACTTGATCAATTTATTACGCAGCACTTTAAAGCGTTGCGCCATTTGAGAAAAATGGGCTCAAATGCTCTGCACGCGGCAATGCGTCAGGTTCAGTGCAAGACTGTGGGCCGCTGTTGGATGTGTTCATATCTTGAGGAGATGACTGGCTAGAAAAAGATAGCTAATCGTCAGCTTTGTAATGTAATAGCGTTAAAAGGACTCGTCGACGTAGGAGGATTGTTGTTTGTGGATACCTTAGTTGTGGCTTCAGATGTAAACGGAGGTCAGTGGCGTGGCACATGTCAAGGATTCATCCGGGGCTTCTAACTGCTGAGAGGAATAGCGGTTTTGAGATGAGATGCCGAGCATCGCTGGTGTAGGCCTCTCACATTACCCATTGTACCTCAGACTTCACGCACTGATAGCTGGACAGGCGTGAGATAAAACGCTTATAGTGTTCATCATATTGCATATAAAGCTAAATAAAGGTGCTGGAGGTATTGAGAAATAGCGTTTGCATCTGTTAGTATTAATGTTGCATAAACTTTGTTTTTAATAATCAGGATGGTGTTACAAAGTGCGAAATCTGCAACGGTGATCATTATGCAGATATATTGAAGATCGCCATTGCATCCAGCTGATTACACGAAGACATCACAAAACTAAAAGTGATCTTGTTTCAGGTGTTCGGAAAACCATGCTATTGGTAAATGTTGGGCTGCAGGAATGCAGTTTTGCAATTTACGTGGGGGTGAGAAAGGGAAGGGCAAGGAGTGCAGGAATAGAAATGGCTGGCCTGCCTCCAAAATGCACTCAGAGCAGTTTTTCCTCAGATTTGACCCACTTTTTCACAGTTGGGAGCAGGGACGTAACTCCGCAAAATTAGTTTTTTTGGGGAGGCTGAACCCCAAAATTATGAAACATGAAAAATACGGAATGAAAAGGACAACTAAACGTAGAAAACCGCATCCCTGGTTAGGGCGCACAATAGGGTGCTCCCCCCCCCCCCTTACTGAATAGGAAACTACACCCTTAGGCTGGTTATGTCAACTATGCCTTTACCTGATAGTTCGATGAGTCTAGCCTCAATCATCAGTGAATGTTTGATGGCCAGTAATTGACACGTAATGCAAATGAACTCCCGAAACGAAACGTTCGAAGGATATGCCGCGCTACATTTAATTCAGCTATGTATTTTGTGGTTTATCGCATTTAGAGATATGGCGCAACCGTTTCTGAAAGATGTGCGTGCAGGTCACAATTTAAAAGGTTCCAAATTTCGTCCGTGACAGAAAACGCACTTTTTCATCCCTGAACAAGGTGAACAACAACATCTTTCTTGGGTACTGACCTGATGTAGGACATGTTTCCTGGGATGTGGTATTCGGCTCCAGCATCGAAGTCCACTTCTGAGCCCACTTGAGGTGGCCGGATGCCCTACAGATTCTCTCATTTCAGGTGGCCGGATGCCCTGTAGGTTCTCTCGTTTGAAGTGGCCGGATGTCCTGTAGGTTCTCTCGTAGCGACCACCACTGGCAGTTTAGGTCGTCATGTGAAATGGTGCCGAAAAGGATGCCCCATCGCCAACGGTCGAACAGGTATCCAAACGGCAAGAAAACTACGTTTTTAGAACTGTCAGCATCAAGAAGTTGACATCCACCTGAAAGTCGGTGTACGTGGTAACGCTCGAGACTGCTTACGCGTCTTTTCTGGAAGGCCATGGCGATATCAGTCCTTACGTTATTCTCGGTGAAACCCTGTGTGGGGTCTGATCGCTTAAGAAGATGGGAGAAGTCGGTTGGAAAGGGCGTGACGACACAACTGTCACGATAGGAACACCTCCCGACAGGAGTGTTTCTACATTAGATCTACGCAGCAAACCTCTACTTTTTAATCTTTACAGGCTCTTCTTATACGCGAAATTACTTCTAGTAATTTATGCGCGACGTCGGTGTTAAACAACAAAATGTGTGTGATGTGATGTGTGTGAAATGTGAACAAAACCTACACCAGGCATTTAAGCTGCTACTAAAACTTAAAACAGCCTCTTCTTAAATGCGACATTAATTCTGGGAGAAAACAAAGAAGAAAATGCTGTAAAAAAGCTTCTGCAAAGGCATATACACCTCATGACCGACATGATTACACAACAAAAGTCATGCTGGAAAAATCCACCAATGTTTCCACTGCAAAACATATACCCGCTGTTATGTCTGCTACAAAAGGACATCTTATATAGCTCTTCCCCGTAACCGGCACTTCCTCTGCTGTTAATGCTTGTATATGACATTTGTGTCATGCGATACAGGCTATGCTCCACAAGCTGTACCCGTCAGGCCTTCCAGGCATAGGTTAAGTCTCGCCAGGATCCCGGAGAGAGCGGACACCACATTTTTTCCACTGAAAAACGCAGAGTGCAGGGGCGTAGTACAGCAAAACAAGTTTGGCTCTGGGCAGGAAAAAATCGCCAAATCCGCGCTTAAAACATATGGGCACTTTGTTTGCCCCGGCTATGACACACCTTCCTTTCACAGATTTAGATTGAATGCGGTTCCCGACTGAACATGAATATACATCCCAAGCCTGTTGTTCAATACAACGCGCCATTGCTTATACTACAGTTACTTATATAAGGCTCTAGAGTCACGTGACAAAACTAATACGTTAAAAGTTATATTCATCATTCAGATTTTCCTACCAATGCTACAGTCTTTCATACCAAGCACGGTATATCGACAAAGTAGTGTAGCATGATGGATAAGGTACCTTTCCTTCGGCGCCACGAACCTTTCATTGCATTAGTGCCCAGCTGGGGTTCACTGCTAACATTCTAAGTGTTCCTACACCCCTGGTAGGTGTCCACGCCATGTTGCGTATGGGTCTTTGCAGTAGAAGTTGTGTGACGTATACGTTTTTGCAGTGGAACTAATGTTGTGTTATGTAATTACTGCAGCAAATTTTGCAGTAGAAGTTATGTCAGGCATGGGCTTTTTAATCATAAGCTGTGTTACGTGACCATATCGCATAGAGTTTTTACAGTAAAAGTAATGACGAGTGGAAGTTTCCGAAGCCCACGTTTTGTCGTGTAGCACTTATGTCGTATATGAGTTTTTGCAGTAGAAGGGGATAAAAAATGCACAGCTTATTGCAGTGAAGATAATGAAGTGTGAAGGTTTTTGATGCCTAAGTTTCGTTGCGTGGCACTGGCGTGTACAAGTATTGGCGAAAGAAGAAATGTGGTAGAACACTCGTTGTACAAAGTTTTTCTTTTAGCGCTAATATCGCGGGGCATTTGGAGGGCTTAGGGCTCAGAGCACGAGGGATGCATGCAAACTGAGGAGAAGCATGCAAAATTAATATATACGAAAGTTAGGCAGAACGAAGCGGATCGTGATACGCTCCTATCACCATATCAGGCGACAACGAAGGCGTGTTCGGCGTACACACCTCTGGGTCGTTGACCTCCTCATCCAACAGCCCAGTCTTCTTCAGGTGTTTGGGTATTTGGACAGGGAGGACTAGCGTGACGCCCACCGCCTCGTGGAATACTGACGGCGATAGCTCGGATCAGTGCCAGCCAGGGCGGCGGCTGCACGTGCCTGCGATAACTTTGTGCAGATTGCCCAACGTGCCTACTGAGGACCACCTTAAAGACAAGGTTGGCAGTCGGGTGGTAAACGCAATATGTTTGCGGTTTACTGCGGGACGGTTGGAGGAGGCCAACATGCCTACCACGCGTGTGATCTTATTTGTCTTACTGGCTGATAGCAAAGGGATCCCATTAAGCCATAGCAACTTTGCTGTGTTTCCACGTTACTTCCATATTGCCTCGCAACATTTGTCGACAGCAGCTAAGAATGTAGTCTGTAAAACTGCTAACTGTACAAGGTTGATAAGGAACTGTTAACTGTTACTGCAGTCAAATAATGAAGGGCGTATATCACATCCAAAATCAGGCTTAATTACATTCAAAGGTAAGGTGGGTAACGGGGAGCGGAAAAACTAGATCTCAGCTTTGTCCTTGTTTTCACAGAGAAGATAAAACTCTATTGGTACAGGCACGAGCACTGTTTCGGGCATATATCAGTATAATCTGTTCGACGGTTTGGTACATGTATTCATATTTTTTGTTTAAAATCATTAATGTGACGCAATGAGAGCACTCTAGATGCAACACCTGTTGACCCCGGCCCTCCACCATTTTGTTAACCTTCATTAAAAGGATAAAAGCAAACCGCCAACACATTCACCGTAGAAGATAATTTTCACACACCATCTAGCGGTTGCTAGCAGAGCTACCCGTCATAGCTTCGACAGCGCCACCTACCGCTGTTGGCTCCGTCCCTGAACATGATCGGCTGATCCTTGTATTGCAGATAGCACTGGACGTGACCCATTTCATGGTGGGTCACGATCAGATACTCGGCGTTGACTTCTGCGCACTGTTTTATCCTGTGGGCAATGCGAACGGTGAATTGCTAGCGATTATTTATTTTTTTGTATATATATATATATATATATATATTTGTTTCGCTTCTCATCACTGTGAACAGGCGGTCAGGAGTGCGCGCTCAATCCGCCGCGGCACGTAGAACATTGCGCACATAATGCCTTGACGCGTGTATGATGAATGCAGAGCGTTAGGGAAAAATCAGGGCAGTCCAGGGCAACTTCTGGTCTGGTTACGCGCATGCCTGGTCTGACTATGTGGCCAATGCCATCTCCGTGAAGTAGGGGCGCGCCCAGACCTTTGCTAAAGGGGGCACAGGCCGACAAAGAGCCCCTGATAAAAAAGCCCCCCCCCAAAAAAATCGTTGGAGATGGCCCGTTTATTGTAGGGGACATCCTTTTGTTATGTATATATACATACATATATATATATATATATATACATATATCTTACGCATTTTTACCTTCCATAACTGGAATGTAAGCCAGATGCCACCACAAAATCAATTTTGCCTTACACGCGCCCGGGTGGTCGGCTAGATACCCTTCGCCCGGGTGGGGGGGGGGGGGGGCAATTTGACCCCCTGAGATCTCGGGAACGTAGAGAGGTAGGGACACCAAATTCCCAGGGTATGTTGACCTGTACGTGAACTCACTTAGGTCATAGTTTGAGGGTCTTAGATCATGATCTAACGTTCTCTCCTGCGGCTGTCAGTCAGGGCTCGGACGCCCGGCTGCGAGCCCCGAGCCAGCATCGCAAAAGCCTGGCTTAGGCTCACTGCGCAGATGTAGTCCAGTGCCGAGAGTAGCCCCCGATGCCTGCATCAGTACTACACTTCTCGCCTCTCTTTCCAACCGCACAACTTTGCAATGGTTAATGAAAACCTACACATCTGCAACGCAATCATGTCTCCAGGAACTCTGCATCGTTTTAGCACCCTGCTCTTCAACAGTTCTTCTTATTTTCCATCTCTCCTCGTATCGCTCCATGTCTCCGCTGCAGCTTCTCTCCTTTCCTTTGCATTGCTTCACAATTACTCAACCATCACCAAGAATACGCGCAGCAATTACGCGAAGACCTACGAATGACCGATGCCTGCTGCGTAATTGGACACATGTTGGAGGCGCAACAACTCCATCAGCCACCCGCTTCACCTTTTCCTTCATCTTCTCTGTGACGTCCACGTCGAGCTTGTCGGGAAATGGCTTGCAGATGTCGTTGATGTTGGTGATGTTGGTCCAGTTTTGTGCCCACATGTTGCCCTGGAGGAGATGCAAAGAGCGCCAGTAAGCCACTCGTAGCTGATACAGCTGCCAATAGTCCCGGCGCTACGTGAGGAAGCGTGTCAAATGCTTTAAACAGTTTGCAATGCTTGTGCAGATTATGTACAGACACTGCACTTCAAACTCGCTGAGATGAAATGCATTCAAAGCCATGGATAGTCTATTCCAACAATTTAACGGGTCTTAAAAACTTCAGGCATGTTGGGATAACGTTTCGCTAATGTCATTCTTGTTCATAGCTATTTCGTAAGTCTCTCCCCATTGGTTGACTGAAGGCTTTGTCCCAGCGACCATCCCAGCACACCACTGCAAGTCAGCGGTATTAAAGCGCAATGCGGTTTTAGTACGTCTTGTGTTGTCTGTCTACGGCGAAGATTTATCTCTTTTTACATCAGGTCTAATGCATGGCGAGTGACGCAATAACCTAGTCGCAGGTTGCTGCGGACGGTTTATAAAGTTATCTGTTCAGTTCGTGCATCATGCTAGCATCATTGACCTTGTTGAAGTAAGATCGAGAACCTCCCCTTTAATCCATCTGATTGTTCACTTCTCTCAGAGGAGACAGTCCGCACGCGAGGATCGATCGAACGATCGAGGAACAAGCCGACAGGATTATTCCGTGCTAGCTGCGGAGAGGAAAAGCTACGACGACATCGTGGGTCATCGCCTTTACCGGATTGTTATGCGCGCAGTGATCTCTAACATTTGTGGTCGCACGCTGAATTGTGTATACGCTACATGCCGTGTGCATATGCGTCTGCGACCACTGTTTGCATCAAGGACAGTGGTGTAGTTGGAAAGTTGGAAATGGAGCTCCAGCCCCATAGCCTCTATCACCTCCCCACTTTTTAGACGAAAGTGGGCCAATTCCCGGGAGATACCAGTTCGTTGGCGTACTTGGGTGTAGGTTTCATTATTTGTTATTCAATCTAATCCATTTCCCGAAACTAAGCCCCTGTCTAATGACATCATTTTGCACACAGTTCAGATGGCCGCCGCATCATCTCAAACTTTGGTTAACCTCTACCTCGGTGCCTATTAGAACAGACCTTCAACTTCCTCACTCAGGTCGCTCGTTCTGCACACTTAAGCGGTATGATGACATTGCGCGTCACCTGAAACATGTTTGAACATGTCAGCTCGACTGGCAACACAGGTGGCGTTGCCGGGTAAGACTTACCCAGGAGATGAGCGGGGACAGGTCCATGCCGGCTAACCACATCCTCTCCATACATGGCCGTCAGTCGGCCCCGCACGTAGGCATGCAGGTCCTCGTAAAGCGGCCTCAGCTGTGACCAGATGTCGGCCAGCTGGTCTTGGGAGCCCAGCGCTTCGTAGCTCTCCAGCCAGAGGCCAATGCCGTTGGTGAAACCTGCACAAATTACAGACGCTGGGTGTGAGAATTGAACTGATAACAAAGCATGCTCGGGCTATTGCACAAGCCACATGACCAATTGGTAGAGCTGTTTCCAGAAATTATTCTCCCGTATATCATGCAAGTGTTTCACCTTATTATTTAAATAATTTATAATTATGAAGACCAACTACTGCATTGTTCGATTTATATTAACAATTTTGAAGACATGAAAGAATCAAGGTCTCTCTCCTTTGCCTTAACCCACATTATTGTCTCCATGATCCGTTCAACTACAATGTGCACGTCTTCTGCTAGCCTTGGTGATGTCACCGATGACATTGACGAGCTCCTTGTACTGTTTCCGCAGCTTCCTTCCGATGGCGTTCCTCCACTTAACCCACACATGCTCCAGCTTGTCCGGGTGTTTGCTCTTTGATAGCATCTGTTTGAGATGTGGCGCAACGTCGATATGGTGAATATCTACCGTCTACGATATCGGCAGAGGGCAGCATAGTCTGGCATGGTTAAGCCGGTAAAATGGTTGCTAAGATATCCGCACAGGCTAGTTTTATTTTGTTAACTGGAGGCTCCCCAGCTCAACCAATCAATGGTACTGCTTGCTCACTCTGAGTATCATGCTGTGCTGCAGGCCATTTGATTGTGTCGTGATTTTGAACATTGAAGCCTGTAACGTGGCGTTATTTGGAGCAATGCTCGGTCACTCATATCACCGGGTGGTCACCTGGTAGCCTCACCAGGTTTCAGACTTAACTCGCATTTTTTAGGGTTGTCGAAGCTGCAGATATTGGTTGCAAACTGCAATACAGTTTGCAACGGGCGTAGCTTTAAAAACTGAGGCCAATACAACCGCTACCGTCAAAACTATGCGTGATCTAGCGTTGAAAATCACATTAGCGTGTCGGCCCACCCGCACCGTCTCTGATGCACCCTTCTGCTGACCGCATTTATCGCTCGCAAATGAGCCTAGACTAAGGGGTTGCGTGACGGCTTTCTCGCCACGACGGCAACAATTTGCTGCACCGGCTCCCGGCCTACACCCTATGCGTTAAGGGTTAAAATGGCCGTTCGCGCTGGGACTTTCGGCTTTGTTCATTTGGCCCGCCTTTATATTACACAACGAGCATTCCGGCTTTCCTTGAGTCTGCTCTGGCGTGGGCCGGCGGGCGCGCGGTGTGTAGGCGCGATCTCGGCTCAGGCATGGCGGTCGGCGGCGCGCTGTGTGTGACGGTCGCCGTGCGCGCACAGGCGCAGATTTTGTTTCTCAACATTCACAATTGACGTGAATACATTTTCAGCCGTATCGCGAGTTTGTGCAACGCCCCGCTGCGCTGCAAATTGCAGGACAGCTTGCAAGATGCCAATTTTCATAATCGAAATGGCGGGGTCACACCAAGGCTACCTAACGAGGTAGAACCGTCCGGTCCGAAAAAGTGGCAACATCGAGCTTGCGTGAGAATAGAGGTAGTTTGGAAGCAAAGCCTACATGACGTCAAGTATACCATATTTGATGACGTCGGTGGCACGGAGTCCTCTCAGTTAGCCAGCTGACTGCTACACAACTCATTAGTTTGAATAGTGGGTATGTTTTGGTGGCGTGCGCCTGGCGGTTCCCTGTTGGACTGAAAAGATATTATCCGTCATTTCGCTATTCGCACACATTTCTGGAATGAACAGTGAGTCCTGGAACAGTTTAGCCTTATCAGAATGTACGATTTTTGCATGCATGATGATATAACACGGGCTATATGTCATGCGGCGTTTGTGGTGTATTGCATTCCATGACCAGGATTGTCCAAGGCTGGCTTGTCGTTAGATAGCCTTAGGCTTGTCTGTGCCTTTTGTGCCTGGTGGCAGAGTTGAACAGCTCAACTTGCATAATTTGCTCTGTCTATAGGTATGATTATATGAACATTTGCAATACTGATTTGTAATAGCTTCCACTCTTTTTATCACAGTGATGTGAGTACAGTAAGGTAAGTACAGTAAAACGATATGATATTGGCCTTATGATGCTATAGTCAAGTGTTTTTACTTAAGGGTTGTACACATACGCATAATAAAATATTCAGACCGAGCATTTTAAATGCTACCAATCGTTCAGGACAAACTGCACAGGGGATCTCTCGTACAAGGCGTAGTCATGGCAACTGATCGCAACCCTCTGACATGAAGCGCCAAGCAGCTGCGATACGCGATGCGCTACAAACGCCGCATGACGTTTAACCCATAGTTATGTACACCCCACGGAAGAATATAAAATTCTGACGAGGTTAGACTGTTCCGAGATTTAATGTCCCTTCCAGAATTGTGTTTGCATGACAAAACCATGGACCATTCATTCAGAGTCCAACCGGGAAGCGCCAGCCGCACGCCCCCAAAACGTACTCGCCATTCAAACTAATGGGTTGTGTAGCAGTCAGCTGGCTAACTGAGAGGCTTCCGTGCCACTGACATCATCAAATATGGTATGCTTGACGTCATGCAGGCTTTGCTTCCAAACTACCTCTATTCTCACGCAAGCCCGATGCTGCCACTTTTTGATAATGCTAAACGATACGGATGACACCCCCTGGGTCACACGTATCACACGGCACGGGATCACAGATGGATTTTGTTCTCTTCCACGGAATTGCACCTTTTGTGCCAGATTTCGGCATCTATGGCGCTAAAACACCCGGGATTGGCGCGCTTCAATGATGAATGGAAGGAGCGAGATGATAATGTTTGGTGACACGTGCCACACACCATGGCGCCATGTGTTAAACCACGATTCACAGGATTTTGCTCTTTTGAGGGGCTCGCACGTTTTCGTGATATCTCAGCAACCAGGGAATGAAGCACACAGAGACTGGCATGCTTCGATAGGTGACCTAACTGGCAATCACTGAAACGTGTACGATGTCATGCTGCACGTGTCATGTGGCACGTGCGCATTAGCTGTGAAGTTGTATTTCGCCGGTTTCGTCCATTTGTATGCTTTAAGCGGGATTTCCGCTCTTATGGCACGTAGCAACACGAGACTGGCACGCTGCGATAGGTCATCCCATGTGAACGGGAAATCTATGGTCACATGTGTCACGAGTGCGGGGTGGCACGTCACACGTGTCGGGCACACACGAGCCAGGAAGATGGCTTTTGCTCTTTTCCACGGATTTACACGCTTTGTGCCACATCTCGGCGCGCAGGGCACGAAGGTGCTGGGTAGCGGCATGCATTTATAAGAAACTGAACAGATAATGACGTTGCATGAATTGTCACGTCGCAAGTGCTGTATGGATTGATGGGGAATCAAACGGACAAGCACGTGGTGTAGATGATAGCACCACATATGCGCAAGCCAGAAAAATTGATTTGGCCGTTACCGACCGTTTTTCACCGTTCAATACAATACAATGCTGTTGGATGCCACGTTTGTGCATGCTGCCATCATTCAAAAGCGGACGGTTGATGGAAGTGGCAAAAATCACCGGTCACGTCCCGCCATCAGTCACCGGTCCCATGGAATAGGGCTGCCTGTGTCCCAGAGAGGGCATGCCAAATGCGCTTTCTCCTGCCAGCGGCCGCCAGAGGCCTCCAGCACCGCGCGCAACCCGCGTCCGAGCCTTTTTCACACCGCGCGGTATCTCGGCAACCAGGGCACCTAGAACCGCTATTCCAGCTGTAAAAGATACATGATTAAAATTTATAAATTTTTCACTTAGCGCAGCGAAGCAAGCACGCAAGCGCTTGCGACTAATACAAGCACGCGAGCTGTTCTTTTTTTGTGTGTCGGGCGTTGCTAGCTTCAAATGTTCGTTTTTTGCAGACTACATACCAATTAGAGCCAATGTTTTGTTGCTGAGACAGTTGAGTGATAGAAGAGAAATACATTTGCTCAAACAGTAAATATAAGCGCCGTGAAAATAGTTTGCATCAACCAATGCGGCGCAGCAGAGGGGTGGCGGGGAGGGGGGGGGGGGGCAGAATGGGCAGCTGCCCCTCATGGCGGCAGGCAGGGGGGGGGGGGGCACGGGTATGTTCTTGCCCTCCCAAAATTTTCATTAGGCCCATTTTACCCGGACTGCAACTTTCTTCCTGCACATATCTTACCAAAATTAAGATACGGAGCGCGCTATAACTGAGCTAGTGAGTACCGAATCGGGCCCTTTTCTGCACAGGGATGCCCACTTCCCCGGCTGTGAGGAACCTTTTCGTCTCGTACCTCGTAATTTGGTTCAAGGAAGCTTGATTTATGTTGACCATGTTCCCTCTTTCCATACATGACTGCATGCTCATCATTTTAGCGTGAGCTTTTCATTTCCGGCAATATTGATACATCCGACATCAGCTAGAGCAAGAAGATTGACTCTTCTATTCCCTCAACGTTAAAACCTTTGTTGATGGCCCTTTCACGCAGCGTGGCCAATTGTGTGGGAATAGGAGCCCCTGAACTCATGGGACTTCTCTGACTTGAGATCCTATTTCTATGCTTGGATTGCCTTTTTGCATCATAATCCAGAAGTGCACATTATATTCTCCATAAATATTGGCGCCTTCGGGCCAGGAGACCCGGCCGTCTCCATCTCCGCCCCCCGCCCCCCACCCCCCACCGCCCTCTTTTCCTCCCAAGGGGAGGGGGCGAGAGTATCGCGTGCGAAGAGCACACATCTGGCTACCCACTGATCTCGGTGCCTGTCTGTGCTGCGACTTTTACAAATTGTTTTAAAGTTTTCATGCATCGTACGTCTGTTTTTACAGGCACGGCACATAACTTTCCAGCCACTGAAGACAGACTGGATCACCAACCCTGCTGATGGCGCCCGACTCGGGCGGAACACCGTGGGGAGACCAGCCGCCGTTCGGCGCAGGGGCGCTGGGGTGCCTTCCGCTAGCGACACCGCTGGTTGTCGGCAATGCTGGCCGTCGCCCGGCACAAGAGCCCCTGCCCCCCCCCCCCTCCCCACACACACAAATCAGGCTGAGAATGTAAACACAACTGTACCGAAACGGCAGAGTTATCTCCGTGTCGCGCCAGTGCGGCGTGACGTGGCCAGGACAGGTGGTGTCGTTGTCACTGGGGCTTTAAGACGCACCCAGCGGCTCAGGTCATACGCCATCGCCCGCTTCTCACCCTGACACGAATGGCGGTCACCAAGGGCAATCGGTCCCCCACCTCTGGTAGAGGCGCCTCAGCAGGTACGGGGTGCAAAGAACAGAGGAGAAGTGACATCATGGGTGTACCCAAGGTGAGGCTCATGTGATCTTTGCCCCCGTCAGGTTTAAGAGACTTTTTTCTCATGACGACACTAAGAGATATAATTCTGCAGCCTGATAGTCAGGTAAGCTGTTTTGGCTTTCCATCTCAAGGACTTGCGTTGTCAGTGACGCGTCACGCACGACAGCAGTATAGTGATAACGTCACCCAATGACCGAGTGGATACG